ATTCCACATCTCCACTGACACTTGGTCTTTTTAATTTTAATAATTATAGAGTGTACGTAATGGTATCTTATTTGGTTTTGCTTTGTATTATCCTGATGACTAATGATGTTAAACATCCTTTTCATGTTTGTATTGGCCATTCACTATCTTCTTTCGCAAAGTGTCTGTTGAAATATTTTGCCATATTTCTGATGGGGATTTTTCTCTTATTATTTGTGTATGGATTCATGAGGGATATTGGTCTGTAATTCTCTTTTTTTGTAATATCTTTTTTCTGTATTTGGTATCAGGTAATGTTAACCTCATCAAATGAGTTGGGAAGTGTTTCCTCATCCTTCGTTTGTTGAAAGAGTTTCCTTTATATTGGTAGTATTTCTCTTTTAATATTTGAAAGACTTCACCAGTGAAGTCATCTGGACCTGGGATACTCTTTGTAGGGAGGTTTTCAAATTATAAATTCAGTTTCATATAGATATAGAACTATTCAGAGTTTCTATTTCTTCTTTAGTCAGTTTTGGTAATTCAGGGAATTTGCCCAGCTCACTAAATTGTCTATTTTGTTACCATATGATGTTAATGTGGTATATCATTTCCATCTTTTTGAACTATTCATGTCTTTATTTCAAGTCGATTTCTTGTAGACAGCATATAGTTAGTTCTTGATTTTTTACCCAGTGTTACAATCTATGCCTTTTAAATGGAATGTTCAGACCATAAAGAGGAAGACCCTCAACGAGATGGATTGGCATACTGGCTGCAACAGTGGGCTCAAGCATAACAATGATTGTGAAGATGGCATAGGACTAGGCAGTGTTTCATTCGCTATGAGTCAGAACCAACTGGACGGCACCTGTCTTAGGCTGGGTTCTCTAGAGAAGCAAAACCAGTAAAGTGTATAAACATATATATAGAGAGATTTATATCAAGGAAATAGCTCAGGCAATTGAAGGGGCTAGAACATCCCAAGTCTGTGGATTAGGGTAGAGGCCTCTCCCAATTCACGCAGCTGCAGAAGCTGGCGAGCCCAAGATCGGCAGGTCGGAGAGCAGGGCTCCTGCTCACAGGCTGTGGAGGTGTATGAATTCCAAGATAGGCAGGCAAGACCACGAGGTTTCTCCTGATTCATGTAGCTGCTGGGGATGGTGAACCCAAGATCGGCAGGCCAGAGAGCAGGGCTCTGCTCACGGGCTGTGAAGATTGATGAATCCCAAATTTGGCAGATAAGCTAACAGCTCATGTCCCAAGAACCAGAGGTCAGACGAACAGGAGGCAGCAGCAGGATCCAGAGCGAGCAAAAAGACAAAATGTCTGCATATATTCAGATGCAGGCCACACCCCCAGGGAAACTCCTTTTCCACTGCTTGGCTACTCACAGCATATTTAATCATGGGAGTGATCACATATAAACACTGAGAATCATGGCCCAGCCAAGTTGACATACAATCTTAACCATCACAGCACCTAAGAAGAAAAACAACATTGATACATTGGGCTTAAGTTTATCATCTTGCTTTTGTTATTATTTTTCCTATCTATTCTTTGTTCCTCTTTTACTTTCTTTTTTTGGATTAGTTGTGTGAGTTTTTTTTTTAGTAGTCTATTTTATCTCCACTATTGGCTTATTAGCATATCTATTTGATTTATTTTTTAGTGGTTGAGCTAGAGTTTATAATGTGCATCTTTAACTGATTACAGTGTACCTTTAAATAATATACCACTTCATGTATGCTGTAACAATCTTACAACAGCATACAATTCCCCCTTTCCTGTTCTTTGTGCTCTTTTTGTCATATATTTTACTTACAAATTTTGCTCTATTTGGCATTGCTCCTCTTTCTCATAGCCCATGTTCAATTCAGGAATCAAAAATATTTTACACCTAGTTCATGGATTTATTTGTAGTATTTTCTGCCATCGTTTGGGAATCACTAAAGTCAAAACTGTCTGAACTTTGTTCTCTAGCTACTCAGTCTTGGAAACCTATAGACTAGGGTGGGTCTGAATCTCCCTTGGAGTAGACCAATAGATCCCAAGTTCCAGTTATGGTCTTCCCACATCTTTTTCACATTTCCTGAAGCATTCTAAATGTCTTTATGAATCCTGTGTTAGATGGTGCAGATTATCCTCCAGAGGCCACCTCCTCCTGGAATTTCCTGTGAGAGAGCTTATGCAGGGACTAATTTGTTAACTCATTTAACAAATATTTATCAAGTGGTTAGTATATGCCAAGTCCAGTCCTAGGCACTGGGAATACAGTAATAAACAGATCATTGCCTTCTTGGAATTTATATTCTAGTGGAGGAGACAGATAATGAACAAGATAAGTAAGTAGAGTATACAGTATCTTAGATAGTGCTAAATGTTAAAGGAGAAAAATAAAACAGGTTATAGGTGAGCATGTTGCAAGATTTAAGACAGAGTTTCCAGGGAAAGCATTAATGGGAAAAGTGACTTTTGAGTAAAGACCTGAAGGAGCTAGAGATACAAAAACTGGAGGCAGGGGTGGTGGTGGTATATTTCAGGCAGAGAAATTACCAAGACCCTGAAGTAAGGACGTTTCTGGTGTGGTGGGGAACCAGTGAGTAGCCCAGTGTAGCTGGAGCAGAATGAGTGAAAGAAAGACTAGCAGGAGAAGAAAACAGAAAGGTGATGGAGCAGAGAGAGGCAAGTTATATAGGGTGTTATTAGTCATTGTAAGGATTTGGACTTTAAATCTGAGTAAGAAGGGAGGCCTTTGAAATGATTTGAGAAGAGAAGTGACAAGATCTGACATGCCTTTGACTGTAGAGAGTGGGCAAGGATAGATGCAGGGAAAATAATTAGAGGCTATTGAATACTCCAAGTGAGAGATTGTGGTGACTTAGATAAGGCTGGGAACAGTAGAGATGGTGAGAAATGATCGCATTCAGTATTGGTCTGGCTAAGTGGTTGAAACATCCTATCCTTTTTTATAAAAAGAAATGTTTTTATTGTAATTTAAATGAAGTTTACATTTCAAGTTAGTCTCCCATACAAAAATTTATACATACATTGTTATGCGACCCTAATTGCTCTCCCCATTCTGTGACAGCACACTCCTCCTTTTCCACCCCTGATTCCCCATGTCCATTCAACCAGCTCCTAACCCTCTCTGCCTTCCCATCTCACCTCCGGACAGAAGCTGCCCATTTAGTTTCTTGTATCTACTTGAGTTAAGAGACACATTCCTCATAAGTATCATTCTATGTCCCATAGTCCAGTCCAGTCCCTATCTGAAGAGTTGGCCTCGGGAATTGTTTTATTTCTGGGCTGATAGAGAGTCCAGGGGCCATGCTTTCTGGGCTTCCTCCATTTTCAATCAGACCATTAAGTCTGGTCTTCTTACTAGAATTTGAGTTCTGCACCCCACCTTTCTCCTACTCCATCTGGGACTCTCTGTTGTGTTCCCTGTCAGGGTGGTCATTGGTGGTAGCCAGGCACCATCTAGTTCTTCTGGTCTCAGGCTGACGAAGTCTCTGGTTTCTGTGGCCCTTTCTGTCTCTTGGGCTCCTACTTTCCTTGTGTCTTTGGTGTTCTTCATTCTCCTTTACTCCAGGTGGTTGGGACCAATTGATGCATCTTAGATGGCGGCTTGCAAGCTTTTAAGGCCCCAGACGCCAGTCACCAAAGTAGGATGCAGAACGTTTTCTTAAAAAGCTTTGTTACGCCAATTGACCTAGATGTCCCCTGAAAGCATGGTCCCCAGACCCCTACCCCTGCTACTCTGTCTCTCAAAGTGTTTGATTGTATTCAGGAAACTTCTTAGCTTTGGTTTAGTCCAGTTGTGCTGACTTCCCCTGTAGTGTGTGCTGTGCTGTCCTTCCCTTCACCTGAGATAATTCTTATCTAGTATCTAGTTAGTAAATAACCCTCACCCTCCCTCCCCACCCTCATAACCATCAAAGAATGTTTTCTTCTGTGTTTAAACCTTTTCTTGAGTTCTTACAATCGTGGTCTTGTACAATATTTGTTCTTCTGTGACGGACTAAATTCACTCAGTGTAATGAGTTCCAGCGAAACATCCTATCTTGAATAACATCTTTCCACAGATTGTCAGCAAATTACCAGCACAATCACTGTTTTTAATTGGGTCTATTTTTGTTGCTTAATACCATTCAGCTAACAATTTAAATACTATAGTAAGCCATATCTTGACTCAGATCTTGACAGTTGTTCACCTTGTAACAATTCATCCTGGGGGAAAGCTCCCAAAATGTAACCCGTTACAATATTCTTAATAATATGAGGAAGGGTTGGTGTTGTCCATCATCATTACTGCTGGTGACTGGTGTAGCACCCATAGGAAGATATGGAGAATGTGCAGAATAGTCCTTAACTATGAATTCAGAGAGTCAACTATTCTCCTGTTCCTTAACTCACTTGGAGATGGTGTTGGACTTTTCATTGCAGTTTCAATTGGCCACCTTTACACTCTCATAGTCTTTAAACCACTTAAACCTGTTAGTTTTCCCTTCTGCAACCTACCTCTCCTTCTTGTCACCAATTTTACTACTCATAGGAACCAGAATGGAGAGAATGGAGGTATCAAAACTGTAAGTGGAATTAAGAAGGGGGAAAAAGAAGAAACCCTCTATAATTCAGCCTCAGGATGGATTAGCTACAAAATAATCAGAATTTTCATGTTACCAAGATTTACCTTTTTTTTTTTAGGTTGATGCTTATATGTTGTTTTGCTACAAGAATCCATGTGTCTTTATTTATAATTTTACTGTCTTTGGGGAAAATGAAGAATAATTTCCCCTTTTATTTGTTTTGCACCAAGCTCAGAAAGAGGGTGTGTGTAACAGTTCCTCAGTGTGTGTGTGTGTGTGTGTGTGTGCGTGCACGCATGCAAGTGCACACATGAGGAGGATGGATGGGAAAAAGAATTCAACCCAATACTTAATATGTGAAGTAGTTTTAAAGGTAAATTTAAGAAATGATTTTTACTGATTATGATTTTGCTTTTTAATATATTATAGGAGAGCTGAAGAAACTCCACAAGACAATTCCAAAATGCATATTTACTACAGTATTTCTGGTGACTGTGGTTTATTTACTGGTTAACATTTCCTACCTGACTATTCCGACACCCAGAGAAATTCTCTCTTCAGGCATGTATGCAAATGGCTAAGGTAATAAAAATTTCTGGTGTTTGGGCATTTCTTAAGTATCACCCTATCAGTCAGGATTGCTGTTTGATTGCCGTTCATTACTCTGCTTATATAGAGTCAACTTGCAATTTTCTATAATAAACAGAAGAACGAAAGAGTCTGATTTGGCTTAGGAAGGAGTTTCATATTTAAACATGGTTATGCATTTTCTAATAATAAGGAAATATATTGATGTATGGTTCTAATAGGATTCAGGATATTGGCATGCCTTTTATGATTTCGTCTCACTGAGGGACATTATGTAATCAGTGCTTTTATCTACTAAAACTTTCAAAACATTTGATTTATAGTGTTCTTTTAGATGACATGAAAAATGATAAATTTGAAATATAGGATATTAGCAGTTGAAAGAGTAGATGCTAATAGTCAATTGATGCACATAATTAACATTATTAAGTTGCAAAATAATGTAGTTGTTCCAGACTATGACAGACTAGAAAGAAAGGCCTGATGATATACTTCTGAAAATCAGCCAATGAAAACCCTATGGATCATAATGGAACTGTCATGGATTGAATCATGTCCCTCCAAAAAATGTGTGTATCAATTTGGCTAGGCCATGATTCCCAGTATTGTGTGGTTGTCCTCCATTTTGTGATTGCAATTTTATGTTAAAGAGGATTAGGATGGGACTGTAGCACCCTTACTAATGTCACATCCCTGATCCAATGTAAAGGGAGTTTCCCTGGGGTGTGGCTTACACCACCTTTTAGCTTACAAGAGATAAAAGGAAAGGGAAGCAAACAGAGAGTTGGGGACCTCATACCACCAAGAAAGCAGTGCCGGGAGCAGAGCACATCCTTTGGAGCCGAGGTCCCTGTGCAGAGAAGCTCCTAGTCCAGGAGAAGAATTGATGACAAGGCTGATAAGAGAGACAAAGACTTCGCCTGGAGCTGACTCCCTGAATTTGGACTTTCAGCCTATTTTACTGTGAGGAAATAAACTTCTCTCTTTGTTAAAACCATCCACTTGTGGTATTTCTGTTATAGCAGTACTAGATGACCAAGACAGGAACATTGTCCTATCTGGAACCAATCGTGGAGATGGCACAGGACCAGGCAGCATTTTGTTTCATTGTGCATGGGGTCACTATTAGTCAGGCCCAACTTGATGGCAGCTCACAGTAGCAACAACCATAAATAATCTGAAATTTATGGTAGGAAAAGGCCTTAATATATTGGAATTTGACTTAAAGATAACTATCTTAGGACTCTAATTGTAGAATAAAGAATGAAAAGAATAAGAAAATTTTAAAGAGTTAAACATACATTTAAGAATGAGTAACATATTCAAGGAATGAAGGGAAATTTGGAAAGATATGAGAAGCAGGGAAAGTGGAAGACTAGTGATTTCCTCAAACCAGCATTAAATCTTGACTTCTAAGATAAACCCAGTACCGTTAAGACATATCTCAATTGAGCAGCTACTGTTATCTTGGTGAATCATTGAGGCACTGGAGGTAAGTCTGAAGGAGGCTTTAAAATAACAGTCTTGGCAAGCTTTGCTTCAATTCTTTGTTATTGCCTTGTAGAATGCAGCCACATGGTATCGATGTTGACTCATAATGGTCTAACTATCTTAAGGACTTGTGAAGTATATATGATCAAGATTCCCAGTATTTGTGGGAACAAACCAAGTGCAAAACTGGATACAAGCAAGCAGTGATCAATTAAGTCCTTTGATTATGAAGAGAATAAATTTTTGAATTTAATTATGGTTGTTGTCAGAGCCGCTGATCAGCTGGTATGGTTGCTATGGTTGGTTGCGGCTGGCATACGTTATGACTGCCGGAGCTGGCATACAGGCTGTTAAAATATTATGAATATCCCCTCTTGTATAGCATGATGAGTACAGCAATAATAGTTTTGGCATATGTGGAAGGCTCATGAAATGTTTTGACTATAATTGCTTGTAATTTGGTTTACAAGACTTATTGTTTCAGGCATATAAGCCTTAGGAAAATCTTTTAGCCTCTGCCCCCATACAATTTAGTTACCATTCTAGATCATCTTTTTCTGTGCCAATGTTCTCTAGTTTTAAATATGAGATGGAACCCTCAAGAACGCCAAATGTGAGCAGAGGCTAAAAGACTTCCATGACTGGAAGCAGTCTGGTGATAGCTGGCCACAAGTGTCCAGGTGTGGCTAAGAATTTTGAGATGAAAGTGGACGTTTTAAAATCACTTACTGGTGTGAACATAAATTGGTGCAATCATTTTTGGAGGGTAATTTTGTAATATGTAGCTTATTTAGATATATACATATGTATATCTATATATATCTTTTGACTCAGCAGTTTCACTTCTAAGAATTTGCTCAAAGAGGAGAACTGTACAACTACTCAGAGCTGAAGGCACAATGTATTCATTAAAGCACATTCTTTTTAGCAAAAAAACCTGGAAACAACCTAAAAATCCATCAATACAGAATGGGCAAATAAATTAATTTACAACTATATAATGGAATATTGGGATTCATTTAAATAATTATTAGATGAATATGTATGTACTAATATCAAGAGGGAGGCCTGGTTGCACAGTGGGTTAAAGCTCAGCTGCTAACCAAAAGGTCAGCAGTTCGAATCCATCAGCCACTCCTTCAAATCCCTATGGGGCAATTCTACCGTCGCTATGAGTGGGAATTGACTTGACGGCAACAAGTTTGGTTTTGCTTTTTTTGGGGGGGGGTTTTGTTTTAATATCAAGATATATTGGAAGTGAAAAAAGCAAGCATAAGCACATACACAAGCACCCAAACACATACATGTACACACATATACACCTCTCACAGATGCTTGTATACGTATAGAAAATTTCTGGAAGAATATCCAAAAAAATGTTAACAGTAGTTACATCTGGGATGAGTGAATGAGGGGTTGGTGAAAAGAGGGACATTTACTTTTTACTTTATGTGCTTCAGTGTTATTTATTTACTTTTTACAAACTGGATGTATAATAAAAATTTTAAAAGAAAAAATAATGTTGAGAAGTGAAAAAGAAAAGAAATCACTTGTGGAAAAGAGATAAAGATTATGTAGAAAGATGTGTAACTTTTGCAAGCTGAACTAGAAGATACACCAATTATAACCAGCTACACTTGTAGAATGCAAAATGGGAAATGGAAGGAGAACAAGGGCTTCTCTACCGGAAAAAAGGTGTTTCTGAAATGTGTCTGAAATGGAAAATGTGTGGAGGTATGGGTGTCCAGGAGGTACAACCAATATTACATTATTTGAAATGAGACAGGAGATATTTTTAAGCAAGACTTGGTGTGGTAGAAAAGCATTAAAGAGAAAAGTAAAGATAGCACTTGAGGCTATTTACACCAACCAAACCAAATCCATTGCCATTAAGTCGATGCTGACCCATAGCGACCCTATAGGACAGAGTAGAACTGCCCCATAGGATCTCCAAGGCTGTAAATCTCTACAGGAGCAGACTGCCACATCTTTCTCTCACTGAGAGGCTCGCAGGTTTGAACTGCTGACCTTTAGGTTAGTAGCCCAGTGCTTAACTGCTGAGCCACCAGCGCTCTTTGAGGCTATTTAAAATGGGTTTAAAATAAAGATTTTTAAGAGCAAAAACCATAGATGACATTTTAATTTTATCACATTGGAAAATCTTACTATTTGTTATAAGTCAATATGCTGATATCCTGCAGTCTTCCTGGAAACTAACCATAAGGACTATAACTAGACACTGACCCCCAGGGACATTAGGTCCTGCTCTGCTTATTCTGTTGAAAAGCTCAGAACCTCTTTCTCCATGACTGAATGACTTGTCCCAGCATATATCTACATAATATGAATTGGACTCAAATGGATTCTCATAAATAATGGATACTTTTCTTCGCTGGTGCCTTTTATGTCTACTGACTTACACTGAATTAGTGTTCTATGGGTCTCTTCACTTTTAAATTAAAAACAAAAAATGAGATCAATGTCTAAATGTTAGTCTGTTGCAGGGTTTCTCAGTCTCAGCACCACTGACATTTTTGGCTGTATAATTCTTTTTTTTTTTTTTGTGGAGAACTGTCCTGTACATTGTAGGATGTTTAGTAGAATCATTGGCCTCTATCCAGTAGATGCCAGTAGCAGCCTCCTACCCCCTTCTCCAGTTGTGACAATGAAAAATGTCTCCAGACATTGCCAAATGTCACCTGGGGGGACAGAATCACCTCCGGTTGAGAAACCGCTGGTCTATAGTTTAGGCAAGGTCTCAAAGGTTATAAATATTTTTATCTGTGTGTAATCTGTATTCTTTATTTACATGGTTCATATTTTCTCGTGTTAAGTATTTCAAATTGAACCATAACATGAGTGCATTCTAAGTTTCATTCCTGGGTTAGCAGATTTGCACTGTGGTGTTTTGTTTTTTTTTTTTTTTGACTCTGAGTGCAACTATCAGCACTCTGTAAACTAGTTTTAGAAAATATGCATGCATTTGATCATCCATTCAACAAAATCAATTCATTTAACAAATATTTATTGAAGACTTACTATATGTCTGTCCCTGAGTGAAGAACTAGGTTTATTGAAAAGAGATGAATGATCCCTGCCTTCAAGAAGTTCATGGTCTGTTGGAGAGTACACATATGATATAGTATGATAAGAGCTAAAATAGACATATGCATAAGGTGTTATGTAAATGTAAATAAGGAAATTACAGTGAAATTAAACAGATGCCAGTATTCTTAATTGTGCTTCAAATTTCCTTTCCTTTTGAAATAATTTTAAAAGGCTTATCATTAGTTTCTCTTTTTTAATGCATTGCATTTTTTGTGTTCTTGTGTTTCTGCAGATACTGTGATTATCACATGGACTGACAGAGTTATCCCCTCAGTGACATGGGTTATTTCTCTTGGTATTTCTGCCTCATTATTTAGCAACATTTGGTATTCTGTATTAATGTCATCAAGAATGAAGTATATTGCAATCCAAGAGGGCCAGCTGTCTTTGTTATTTAATATGCTTAATATATACTCCTCTCCATTAATAGCTGTGCTAGTAATTGTCATTATGGCATCCTTAATGATTGCTTCAACAAGCTTAATTGAATTGATAAACTATCTTTTTTTTTCTTGTATTTTCTTTTTGGAGTCTATTACTAATAGCAGGACTAATAAAACTGAGATACCAGGAACCTTATCTACCAAGACCTTATAAGGTAAAAATGGATTTTCTAATTTTTTCTGTGTAGATAGAAGATATTGGGTATAACTATATTTGAAGACTACATTCAGAACATCTATGTGTAGATCCTTTTACTACTCAATAAATTGTGAAACACAAGGATAATTTGGTCTTGGTTTTCATTTTCATTTTTATTAGATAGGTTTTATTCAATATAAAATCTCTTAGGTTTAGTACAATGTCAAAATGGTTTTTAGAAGAATGAGTTTTTAGACTATTATAAAAGAGAAAAACAGTCCTCTGTGTAGTCAGATCATTACTAATCCTTTGACCAGAGATTACTTTGTTTACTTATGTAGCTACTTATATGTACTGGTAAGAATGAAAGCCATTAGCGGATCATTTGAGCACTAGTGCTCTCTATGACTTCTACAGTCAACATGAGATTGAGCAGATGGGAAATGGACAAAGCAAGTACTTCTCTGTAGTCACAAGTGATAACATCTCTTGTCCTGAAACATCAACTTTATTTGATCATCAACAAATTCCACCTTTTTAACTTTGTTGCTGTTATTGTTGTTAGCTGCCATTGAGTTGGCCCCTGTATCGTGGCGATCCCACGTGCAAATATTGTAAGCCATAGGGTTTTCATTGCCTGATTTTTGGATATCCAGGTCTTTCTTCCTTTTTCAACTTTACTTTGAGTCTGAATGAGGAAGAATTTCACAGGAAAGAACAGTTCTTTAATCATAGAAAAGAAAACAATAAAAACATGGCAGCATAAGGAGACTATTAGGGAAAGGTAGCCCTGATATTCTGATTATCAAAATATAGTCTTGGTTGGCTAGATATCATGTTAAAAGCTTTCCTTAGAGTGTCGCATTTAATCCTCTCAGTAATACAAAAGGTAAATATTAATGTAATCCTAGTTTACAGATGAAGAAAAGGGTTTAGGAAAAGTTCAGTCACTTGCCCAAGTTGATACTAGCATGGAGTAGTGCCAAGATTCAAATCCAGGCAGCGTTTTTGGAGGTGTTTGTTTGCCTCTCACTAAGTGCAAAATATAAGAAGAACGTGGAAGAAAGAAAGCAATGTTCTAATCACCAACTGTGGTTGACTTATGACTATCCTTCCTTTTCAGTCCTCCCTTCTACTTCTTTTGTTCATTACCCTAACTGTGTATTTGAGTATCAGTTATTGAGAAAGCACTATATTTTAAAAACCTTCTAGGTGCTCTGGATATCAGAAGGAATAAGACTTGACCCCTGCCCTCAGGCAGGGTGTAATCTATCTGGACTATCAAGTGAACAGAAAACCACAGTATAATTCCCACAAAGTGGCCACTGGAAAACACGTGGGAGGGAGTGTTCCTAATCTAGAGCAGGGTTGAAGTCTATGGTCCCTTTTGGTGATGTTTCCCCAAGGTCCACTTTCCTCATAGTTTCACATACTGCATCTTTTTAATCTCTCCTCTCTTTGCTGTTTTCTGACCCCCCACTCTTGTTAGATTACTGACCCTAATTAGATGGAGTTATAAAGAAGTTATTAACTGATGATGAATTTGTTATAGCACTGAGAAATAGTATAAGGTAATCATTAAGAGCTTGAGATCAATCCAGTTGCTCAACTTATTAGCTAAACTTAGACTTGTTATTTAACCTGTGAATCTCAGTTTCTTCATTTCTAAAATGGGAATGAATAATGCCTACCTCCTAGGAAACCCATTGCCATTGAGTCAATTCTGACTCATAGCAACCTTATAGGACAGAGTAGAACTGCCCCATGGGGTTTCTAGGAATGTTGGGTGAATTAAATGAGCTAAGGCTTGCAAACTGCTCAGGGTCTGACATTGATGGCTATTATTATTCAACATACATTTGCACCAGAAACGAAGGTAAAGACAACTTAGCTCTAATTGGTGAACATATGAGTATAATTTGTCTTGCATACACATATGAGTGCTTTTTTCTCCCTCTCAATTATTTCATAACTAATACTGAGCTGTTAATGATAGGCTATATTTCTCAGGGTATTTTACAAATTAAGAAAAGACTCTTATGATTTAAGCCTCAAGTAAATGACCATCTAATTAAAAGAATTCATAAATCTTGACTAGCTATGCTATATTTTGGGTGTATAGATTCATATCTGTCTCTTAAAGATACCTCAAAAGTGGCTGCCTACTGGACAATGTTTAATGCAGGACCCTTACAATCCTTGTAACAGGGGGTGCCAGGGATGCGGCTTTAAGGTTTTTGGCAAAAAAAGAGAGAGAATTGTTTTGGCCAAAGTATTTGTTTTGTTTTTTAATATGCTGAGTCTATGAACTCATAATATTTATCTGTTGATCAACTCAGAGTAACAGACGGTTTGATGATACTCTTTTTTGTGATTATGTCATGAACTTCTTATTGTCTTGAGGTATTTTCCAGGGAACATCTTTGTGATTTTCACTAGGTCTCAGGAACTCTCTGTTAACAAATTCATGCCACCTAAATCAACAGATGGTTGTCATCTTACCAGCAAATCTTACCAGTCAAATGCAATGCTCATTCTCTTTAACCAATACCCTGGAAATAAGAGTCTTAAAAACTTTCTTTTGCTTAGGCATTTATCTTAACTCCTATGTCAAGTTTATCTAATTGCATAATTATTAGCCTAATTCCTATCATTAGCTTCTATGTTATTTTCTGTGTCTTTATGGAAATGTGGAGGTAACTTACATGGATTTTTTGTATCTAATTTTTCTTTTTAATTTTGCTCTTTTTGGGTGTCTTTGCCAGTTCTATCGGTAACAGTGGCCATCAACCTGTGCTTGGTTTTGATACCATTGATGAAATTGCCCAAAATGCATTATGTTTATATTGTTTTCTTTATTTTTAGCGGACTTGTGTTTTATGTACCTTTAATCAATTTTAATTTAAAGTTGGTTTGGTTTGAGAAAATTACTTATTATTTATAATTACTATGCAATATCTGTCTCCCTGATGAGTCTGATGAACAGATAACAGAAGTAGGAGCTGTTAAAAATACAGCCTTCCAAATATGTACCAAACTCTAAATCAAGGTTAAACACACAAAGGAACATTTGTGGTGAAATTCTTTTAGTAACTGTTTTTTTCTCAAATGCGATAATGTGTATAAAACTGCCCAGGACAGTCCTTGACCTGAGGAAGCACACTATCCATGGTTTAAAATTACACAGAAATCTTTATGCATAATTAAATCTCTGTTTTATTTGGTAAAAAACTTAAGTCTTTCTGCATAGCTTGTTACCTTGATGATGTCTCTCCCATGTTTCCATTTTTTTTCCTGCAGCCCACTTCTTTTCTACTGAATTTGTGATCTTGTAATAAAAGTTAATGAAAAAAATAAAACCACATTCTCTGCATCTTTCTCTTTTGATGCTGATTTGATGATAAAAGAATAACCCCTCTAGTTCTGTTAGCTTTTCCCTCTCTAGTGGTGTTTTTCAACCTAAAAGCTATTTTAGAACAATGAGTTTCTACGCTATTTTTCTTTGTGCATCTTTCTTTAAATTCTGAGGTGCCTTTAGAAGAAGAACATTACTATGTCTTCTTTTGATTAAAATGTGGCCTGCCTACAACTATGGCTTGTTGTGGTTGTTAGCTGCTGTCCAGTTGGCCCCAACTCACAGTGACACAATGCACAATGGAATGAAATGCTGCCCTGTCCTGCACCATCCCCATGATTGGTTACAGACCAGACCACAGAGATCCATCGAGTTTTCATTGGCTGATTTTCGGAAGTAGGTCACCAGGCTAGTCCATTTTAGTCTGGAAGCTCCGCTGAAACCTGCTCAGCATCATAGCAACACGCATGCCCCCACGGACAGACAGGTGGTGGCTGCATTTGAGGTACATTGACTGGGAATTGAGCCTGGGTCTCCCACATGAAAAGCAAGAATTCTCCCACTGAACCACCATTGCCCTCTTCAACTATGCAGTTTTGTGTATAAAGTGTGTGTAAAAGATAGTTAAGTGGGTAGCATCCCAATACTCATACTCATCCAGTGTCATGCAATTTAAAAATCCATTTACTTAGCTTAGAGTTTTAAAGGATCTGGGTTCAGAGATGTCCTTTCAGAAAGCAGAGAGGCAGTGGGGGGAGACGGTCAGTGACCTTTGTTAACCAGCCCTGCTCCCTGTCTGCCTTCATCTCTCAGAGGTCACAGGTGTCAAGGGACTTATCAAGTATAAGGAGTGATCCATGGGCTTTATCAGCCAACTTGGATACCCCATTCTTGCTTACTAAGGACAACTTCTAGTTCTTCATGCCCCATTACCTTTTGGCATATCCTTAAACATTATTCAAACTTAATAAGGTATTCAGGTTAACAGAATAGATGTATCTATTTATATCATATTACTTATTTATTCCCTTAGACAGCTACCCATGTGGGGCTTAGGAGTCAAGCATTCCCTTCACATGCACCTGCACTACAGTTATACAACTGCCTAACTGTCCCTTTCCTATGTACTTTCAACACAGTATGTGGCAAAATAATTCCTGCACGTCAGTTCCGTAGAAATTGTGAGCATTTTGGAAATTCAGAATCAGAGCTTCAGAACCTGGAGACCAGAAAGATATTTAAATTACAAGTGAGAAGAACCACAAATTTGAATAATATCAGAATTAGAAGAAAGCTTAAACATCTACTGCACACCCATAAAATAATTCACCCAGCCTGTAATCATATAGAGATGGGGCAATCACTACTTGCTAAAGATGCTGGGCCTATCTTTGGACAGATCTATCTTACCAAAAACTTTTCCTGTAATGGAGCTAAAATGTAGTTCCTACCTGTTGAGTAAGTCTAATTCTTGTTCACGTGACATTCTTTCAGATATTTGACGACACTATCATCATGACTTTGAATCTTCTCTTCTCCAGATTAAACATCCCCAGTCTTCAAGAGTTTCTGCTTTTGAATACCTCGACCTCTCCACAGCTTCTGCTCCCCTGCCGCTTTTCTTTTACAGAAAGATGCCCTGTATTTTTATGCTGTAAACAATGCAGACTTTCCGGACATGATCTGGCTGCATC